ATTTATAATTAGTAAAAGTACACTTGATTTCTATCAATGGAGTCTTGTGGGTTTCCTTTTCTAATTATTTAATGGAGGAGTGCTGACAAAAATATTCTTAAGGGACAAAATTAAAAAAAGAAAAGAAATAACCCCAGGTACACTGGAAGGACTTGTTTAGCTCCCCCAACATGGCCCCCCAAAAATCAGATCCCTTCGATCTCCTACTGTGAGGCCAACTGAATGCCTGTGGCCGTTGCTTTCCAACCATAGCACTTGCTTAATGACCACTACAAAAAGGTCATAAAATAGGTCAGTTTTACCACAATCATGACTTATGACCAAAATGGGCAGGCTCCATTACAGTTGCAAGTTGAGCATTATTTGTATAAATAATGTTGCATACTACACCACCATATTTGTATTTTATTATGTGAAACAAGCCCAGGGCTTCAGTGTTGGGTTATTTACTTTAGAGTAAGACTTACTAAATGTGGAATAATGGATTCAGAATATTGAAATGGGCAATATTTCTTTTTTTAAAGACTCTGTATACTTATTTCCTGCATATTCTTCCCTCTTACTATACATTATGATTTTCTATTTTGTCTTCATTTTTAATTTGTTTCAGATTTGTGTTCATTTCAGGACCAACTAAAAACAGGTCCCTCCTTCCCAGCCAGCATGTTCTGAAATCAGCACCAGATTTGCAAGCCTTAATATGAAACTTGTACAGCCTGCTTTTCTGCTCTGCTCCCCAAAAGGGAAAGGAGCAAGAAATGAATGTAATCGTTAATTCTCTCTGATCCGTCTCACTCAGAATTATTGGAACACAGAAAGCTTACATAGCAGTAAACTCAAATGATTTGAGAATAATTTGTACATAAGGAAACAGAGGTTAATTCCCAGAGTTTGCAATTCATTAGTGGGTGGCCTCTGTTAACAGATCCATTTAATATTTATCACTATCAACTTCTAAGAGATGTGCCTTTTTAATTAGATAGATTTACAATTTAAGAAACCAAGGATCACGTATTCACTTAGAAAAGTTTGAAAAACAAAAGTAGATTAAATAGAATTCCATAAGCACGCATAATACTATAATACACTCTCATAATTATATTGATCTTTCAGAATCATCAGCTATATATAAAGTAGCTGAAAGAGATGTGCAGGGTGGCATTTAAGCTAAGGAACATGCAAAGGTTTGCAATGTTAGTGAAGTAGTTATGCAGCATAGTTAAACTAGTGGCTAATCTTATAATTTATGTTATAAGGTAACAATCACCATTTTAGGTTTGCGACTCTATTATTAATTCTATAATTATCTTGTCCATTGGGATTACTGCACCTAAGTTCTAAATTTATATTTCTTTATAGCTTTGACTTTGCTATGTAATAACTATAGCCATTGAAATGCTAATGTCCATAGTTTCGTCAGTTATTTTTAATTATAAAACCCATACCTGCTATACTACATCAGCTGTTACATTGATGTTATGCATTATTTATAAAATAAATATTTCACACTTTAATGATGGTCACAATGTCACTGTAATATTTTCTTTCCTGATAGTATACATACACTTCTTGAAATAACAAAAAACTTAATAAGTATGCTCATTTCACAAATGTCTAGACAAAAAGGATCTTTATTACTGAACTCATTAAAATTAATCCAGCAGTTAATTTTAGTTCTTTAGTTCTTCGTTGATCATTCTGTTCCCTTGTGCAACTTTGTAAATGTTTATTTAATTTTAACAGAAACAGGTACATAGTACGTGTGAATTGTGTTTTTTTTTTCAAATAAGTGTAATATTACTTGAATGAAGGACAGGCATGAAGCTAATATAGCTTTATTTAATCCTTGCAACTTTATCCTTGAGGTTCAAGAAATCTACCATATCAAATCTGGAAATCCAGGCAAAATAAGGAGATGCTTGAAACACAACATGTATGTAGTATGTGAAAGAGATCATGCTGCAAATTTTATAGAGATGGACTTTTTATGTACATAGGATGGAAAAATAACTTTATGGCATATTTTCTATATAAATATAGACATAAAACATTCATTTATAAACTATCTCATTCGGTTCCATTTATTAAAAGAGCCACATTTTAAAGTGTAAAAAAATACCACATTGGAACTGTGTTATCAAATTAACAGCAAGATTGATAATTTTCCTTACTAATGATTCATAGCCCCTTACATTTTCATCCAGTTGTTTCTCTGCTGGTAACACAGTAATAATAATAAACTTCTTATTGCTTCACTAACAGTTGGGTGACATTAGAAGTTATAAAAATCCTTCACAAAGACATGGCTATAGTATTCAACAAATGCCTGTAACGTTTTTTGCAAACTCCCAATAAGATATTGCAATGGTGAAATCACAACTCTGAAAGAATCCAGGTATGATAAAATTCACCAAGTATTAATTAGTTCACATTTAGCCTTTGGTTACACTTGGTACCTGAAATCAATGCAAAAGGCTTACATTTAGCTGGATTTTGGTTCAGGCACGATTAGATACAATTCGCTTTACAATGTTTAAAGTCCTTTTATCATGCTTATCATCTCAAATAAAAATGAAAGAGTTTCTCAAATGAAGGCATTAAAATGTCATTCTCCAACTCTTTCCAATACAGTACTGAAAATCTGAAAGGCATGATACAGTTTCCATTAAAACTGGCGAACATTTTATATTATAAAGAAAACATGAAAGAAAGGAATTTAATCCAGTTAAATAAAAATGTCCAAAGTGCAAACTGGTATATCACATGTTTTTCAGTTAGAGAAACCCACTGTGAAACAAACAGAACAATCTGAAATTAAGATGAAGACAAAGGAAAGTCGCGTAAAGGAAAAAAGGAACAACATCACAATAAAGTAGCTTATAACAGCAAGCACACAAAACTACTTTGACAACACAGAAAGTTTGTATTACAAACTGAATAATAAAGAAGGTAAAAGCCAAAATCTGTAATAAAAAGCGGGGTGGGGGAGAAGGAGAATGGGGCTGCATAGTAGTGTAATGCAAATTAAATGGATAATTTGGCTGATAGCTAACTCCTTCAACATTAACAGAGGCTATGCCAAGACTTACATAGAATTGTTGTCCAGTAGTGTTAACAAGGTGAAAGCTGGGAATTAGAAATATATGTTTAACAGTGAAAGCTTCCAGACAAAATACTTGTAGAAGAGTTTAATATCCCTCCCATTTCATTTGACCTTGATCTTCAACACAAGCAGCATCCTATCTGTACAACAAATCATAGGCCAATCATGTTGCATTTGGAGAAAAGAAGGGTAGAACTGAAGCCCTACAGAAATGCACCCCAGACTCCATTTCTCTGCACAAGTGGGATTCACATTATAAGTCAGTGTCAAGTACTAACATTGCTCTCACGGCATGACAATTAACTCTCAGGAAATGAAAGGAAAATATTGCTTCAGAGTTCATGAAGGCAGTTATGGATTAAACAGCCTCTGTACGGGACTCCCCTCCACGCACAAATCCATAAACATTTCCTGGCAGTTTTTTAAAATTATTGTCTCTTTTCTCCTTCCAAAAGGAAATGTTTCCTACATTTTCTGTCTGGAAGAGTCACACGTCAGGCTAACTTGCTGAAGAGCCACACCACTTTCAGACTGCTGGGATTTGCAGTCTGATATGCTTTGCGCAGCATAGCGTTTCTTCACCAGGTAGCAGATAATAACTACCAACATCACAACCGTAAAGGTTACGCTGACAATGATCGCAACCAATGTCCCTCGGCTGCTCCCATCCTCTGGTGGGGCAAAGGAAGGAGGAACAGGTGATTTGGGAGGCGTTTCAGTTTCACCTGAAAAGTCATCTGGTTCTGATGGTAGCTCACAGAAGCTGCCCTCTTCTTTAATAAGTCCATTGGGGCAGAAGCAGTTGTAACCGCCAGGAATATTTATGCACTTCAAGGAACCACAGAATCCAGACTCACACTCATCGATGTCTGTGCATACTTTCCTACCATCCATTTTCTCGTCAAGGATAAAGTTTTCTGGACAATAGCATTCGTTTAGATTGTGAGGTTCACACTCTGGAGCACATTCAGACTGGTTACAGACTTGGAGACACTTGTCAGGTTTTCTGGGGTCTGGAATATATCCCTCGAAACATGTGCATTTATACTCTCCATCAACAAGGTTGCAGTCATGTTCACACCTTAAATCAAAGCACCCCCATTTTTCTGGGAGGCATTTGCCCTTCACCAGATCGTAGCCTTTCCAGCAGCGGCACTCAAATGCGCCCCGAGTGTTAATGCACTCCTGTTCACAAAGCCCTGGGGTGGCTTGACAATCATCGATGTCCAGGCAGGTCTTGCCATCGGAATCCAGCTTATAACCCTCATAGCACATGCAGACGGCCGAGTCATCCTGAGGCACACAATGCTGCTGGCATCCTAAACTGGCACAGGGGGACCAGCAGCTCCGTTGGTCGTCCAACAACGCCTTGCCTTCCAGGCAGGCGCAGAGGGGTCTCCCTTGCTCGTCCAAATAACACTGATCGTCGCAGCCCCCGTTTTGCAACTGGCAAGCCCAGGCGCCGGGCGCGGTTGAGCCCCAGTCCAAAGACCCGTTGCTGCCCTGAGGGTGGCACTCCAGAACGGCGCCCAAACTGTGCACCTCCGCCCTAGTGCCCGGCGGAGAGGCCACCAGATCACTTTCTCGGGCGCCGAAGGGCGTGAAGTAAGTGATGGCGAAGGTAGCCGGCAGGGGCCCGCAGGTCCCGTTGGGGTAGTTGTACTCGCACAGGATGGCTTCGGCGGAGGCGTTGCAGGCGCGCTCCTGCCACTTCAGTTCCCGAGTCACCGCCACGCAGGTGGGGCCGCAGGTGGGGCCTTTTGCGCCGGACCCGTTGCTCTCCCAAGCTTGGAAGTCCGTCCGCTCGTCGCCCGTCACCCACTGAAATCCCCGCAGGCGTTTCGCCGGCTCCACGCAGCGGTTTCCGGGCAGGCGCAAGCCGAGCCAGGCGCTGCCGGGCCGGTCGCGCAGCACCAGCAGCGCTATGGCTTCCGCCGCCACCGTGGAGCGGACCGTCATGAGGTGCCCGCCGCCTTCCTCGCACACGCCGCCCGCCTCCGCGAAACTCTTGGAAACGCCGAATAAACCGAAGCAGGCGGAGCCCAGGCACTGCGCGCCTAAGGGGATCGGCGCCGGAGACGGTGCGGGAGACGCCAGCCCCGCTCTCAGGCTGCTCATCGCCACTAGGAGGAACCACATGTTAGCGGGCGATTGCGGCGAGCGCTCTTCGAGTCAAACCGGGGTGCCCCGTCGTGGCTTCCCGTTCAGGCGGTGGCGGCATTTATAGCGCCTTCCATGCGAGGGGAAGCGAGGGGAGGAGGGGAGAAAACCGGGAGAAAGGAGGGAAGCGCCGCCCGCCCAGGAGGAGATCTCCCACTGGAGCAGAGTCAGAGTCTCACACACTCACACCCAGCTGGATGCAGCAGCGCTGAGAAGGGAAGCCAGCCGGCCCCGCCCTCACTTCCTCGACTATTGGCGCAGGAAATTGAGGCTTCCACCCGATCCTTAGCAATAGCAATAGCAATAGTTAGGCTTATATACCGCTTCATAGGGCTTTCAGCCCTCTCTAAGCGGTTTACAGAGTCAGCATATTGCCCCTAACAACAATCCGGGTCCTCATGTTAGCTGAGCTTTGAACTGTTGGAGGAATAAATGAAAGCTACAGAGATCAACCACAGTAAGTGGATTGATATTAGGTGTAACTTCTGTCATTAGGATTATTATCCTTGAATTTATATAGAACATAAGAGACCTTCTTAGGATCCTTAATCCCTTCTATTGAGATGGAATCTAGGTGATTGACTAGAGCTCAGCGTTTACTAGCCGGATGCCCTTCCTGACTCCTATGTGGCGTTCGCAGCTGACATTTTCTCTTTGGGCCCTGATAAGAGAAAAATCTAGGATTGAGTTCTCAGTTTCCTGAGTGGGAGGCGAGTGTCTTCACCTCCAGGCCACTGCGTCGCTCATTGTGATACTTAACTATAATAAGGATTTCTAAGTGATGTGGTTGAGTGGTGTTGCAACTTTAT